AAGCGAGGGTCTGGAGGGACTGTGGGCCCCTTGAGGGAAGTCCCTGCCCCTGGGATGTGTGGGAGGGGCTATTCCAGGCAGAGGGCCACATTGTTGCCTACTTTGGGAGCCACTCGAGGACTGAGTCCAAGGCTGGCTCCACCTGAGTGAAACTGGGGTGGGAGCAAGGCTTAGGGGCTCGTGCTGCCCTGCCCAGCCTCTATGTTCAGCATGAGTCCAGCCGCTCCAGCGGGCTGGGGGCCTGAAGAATTCGGGGTGGGCCACACCTTACCCCACCCCATGAACCTGGACTACCTGAGCATAAGAACAGCCTCTCTGTGCAGGGTGAGGTGGTGATGGGCTGTGTCCTGCCCCCACCTCATGAACTTGGGCTACCTAAGCATAAGAAGAACAGCCTCTCAGTGCATGGCAAGGTGGCAGCGGACTGTGCCCTGCTCCTACCCCTGAGAGCCTGGGTTACCCGGGCGTTGGAACAGCCTCTCTGTACCGGGTGAGGTGGTGGTGGGCCATGCCCTGCCCCTGCCCCTGTGGACTTGTGGCCCTGGGAGTGTGTGCCTGGCCTTGCTCTCGGGGCATACCTAGGGACTTGGCCAACCACTTCCCGAGCACCCACCTCGGCCCCTTTCCTATTTCCGTCCCAGAACATTCGCGTATGGGACATTCAGGACTGCGTGTGCCTCCAGTCCTTCTGTGGGAAGCTCTTTGCCCCGGGAAACTGCCCCATCACCAGTGCCTACTTCTGTGAGCAGGATAACACCCTTATCTGCAGCACCTACTCTGTGAGTGTCCCTGAGGGAGCAGGGTGTGGCCGCAGGTGGGAGGCCAGGGCCTGACATCCTGTGGGACACTGCAGGGCGGTCCCATTCTGTCCCTCCTGCACTGCTGAGCTGCCAGACTCTGCAGGCTGGCCCTGAGAGACTGTCCTGGGGCCCCATCTGCCTTCCTCTGTGCCCTTCTCCTGGTACATCCTTGGTTCTCCCTCCGGAGGCCCCCCCGGACCCCATGCTAGGTTGGAGCGCTTCCTCCATGTGCCTTGGCCCCTCCCTCCATTGTGACCCTCGTGCTCTGTGGTCCTGTGATGGAAACATCTTTCCTGCTCCAGGAAGTGGAGCCACAACTGAGCAGTCCCTCCAAGGGAGGTACCTGGGTGGCTGGTGGCATGACTGTCTGAGTTAGGACTCAGCTGGCCCCATGGTAGATCTCTTCTGAGCCTGAAGACAGGAAGGGGTGGACTGAAGCTTCCTGCCCAGGGCAGGGGGCAGGCCCTGATGGGGCAGGGATTAGGGAGCTGTGAGGCTGAGCTGCACTCACAGCAGGGGCTTCTGCCTGGCAGGAAGAGTGGGCCACGCGTGGTGGAGCACCTCTGAGGCTGCAGACCCCTGTTGGCCACCCGGCAAGGCCGTGTGTGCTCGCTGCGCTCCCCATATGGTGGTGTTCTTGAGAGCTGGGGGTGGGCTTCTGCACCTCTTTGCTGAGTGTCAGCTGGGCTGTCAGCGTTTGTTGAATTAAATAGACCTTTGATGTTCACTTTAGGTCATTGAATGTTATCAACCCCCTGCTCTTTCTTGGGAACTGAGATTGTGTTAAGGAGACACTGCCCCATCTCTCAAGGAAGTCGAAGGGTAGAAGAAAAACATAATTTTGGTGAAAAGTGCTCTGTGTTACGATAGAGTTGTATGCCAGGTGCTCCCTCCTGGGAACACAGAGAAATCCTTAGCCTAGTCTGGGACAGTCAGGGAAGGCTTTCTGGGGGGAACCTGGCTGAGACTTTAACTTCTCAGAAGTTGCAAAGTAAGAGGGACCTTGGACTTGGAATTTGGGGTTTGGGAGACCCCCTCCTGGGGAGTGGGGGCATGGAGTCAGGGTGAGGGTCTCAGCAGGCCCATGGAGGAGTCTGGGAGCCTCGTTGGGCGGAGGCCTATGTGCAGTCCGGATGTCTCGATGCCTGGATATGTTGGGAGGGTCTCCTGGGGCCAGCACTGAGGGCAGAACCCTCTGACTCCCCAGCCATCTGGCCCTCTCCCTGCCCACAGATTGGGGTCCTGAAGGGGTACCTGGAGGCCCAGGGGCCTCTGAAGGCAGGGAAGATCACAACTCACAGCGTCTCGCTGTGCGCCGTCCTCTACAGCAAGATCTTCAAGCAGGTGAGTACTTCTGAGCCCAGGGGGCCTCGGGTGACATGGGCAGGACCCAGACCTGCCCAGCCTGTCAGCTCATGTGTGGCGTGTTGGGAGCCTGCGGGGCTTTGGTGGTGGTGCTGGGGCAGCGGTGGGCTGGTGTGAGGTCAGGCCTGCTCTCTGCAGTGAGTCACAGGCCCACCTGACTCCTGTGCTCATGCCCTGGCTGAGCACCCAGGCCAATTCTGGCTGAGGGCTTCCTCATCTGGAGCATGACGCAGAGAGCTAGTTGCAGGCGCTCTCTGAGGGTCTAGGGCAGGTGCTGATTTGGGTACCACCTTCCAGAGAAGCTGGCTTTGGCATTGTTCCCTGTGGAGAGGGAGGGAGGCCCAGGTGGCAGAGCCATGTCTGCTGCAGAGATGGCATCTGGTTGCATGGACCCGGGTCACCGCTTGGGCTTCCCTCCTGTCCTCACTCTTGATACCAGCACCTCTCACTGCCTCAGGGCACATCATTGCCTTAAGACAGCTTTTTGGTTTTGTTCTCAATTGTTTTCAACATTTTTGAGATGTTCTTAGTAGGAGAGTTGGTCTTCAACAGCCTCGCCTGCCATTGTTGCATTGTCACACTGGCATGGCATGAATGTCTCCTTGGGCAGCATGACCGTCCTTTACTCTCAGTGTTTCTCTGTCTGGGGCAGCTTATTTCCTGTTTGTGTTTTGGTTTTGGTTTTTTTGGTCATGATTAATGATAATGAATTTGACTAATGATAATGAACTAGGGATTATTTTCTTTGGATAGAGTCTGATAAGTGATATTTCTGACTTAGCAGGACTTCACTGAACCATGACACAGGGCAGAGAAAGGCCTGCTTTCAAGAGTGACTTGTGGGGCAGCAGAGGGCCCCGAAAGTCTGTTTTCCCCGCAACACGGAGGGGAGGCACCATGCAGGCTGGAGGCTGCCCTTGCTGCAGCCCTGCTGTGTGCTGCCTGCAGGTGGTGAGTGGCTGCCTGCAGGGCACCGTGAGTGTGTGGGAGGTCGTGACGGGCAGCAAGAAGATGGAGTTCTCTGTGTCCGACACCCAGCAAGTGGAGCTGACTGCCATGGCCCTGGATGAGTCGGAGCGGTGCCTGCTCACCGGCTTACGTGATGGCACGGTGAAGATGTGGAACTACAACATCAGCAAATGCCTGCTGACCTTTCCCAGTTCGGACCAGCTGGAGGTGGGTGTGGCAAGGCCAGCTCCCCGACCTGGGATGCGCTCCGTCAGGCTTCCTGGAGAGGGTGTGTCACATGGTCTGCGTCCTGCCTCCCTGCGCCCTTGTGTCCCGTCATGAGATGGGGTGGGCTAGTGCCTACCTTGGGAGGGCTTCCCGCCAGCTGCTCTCACTCCTCAGCCACACATAGGAGCCTGGGGCCATACCATGCTCACCCCTGAGTAGGAAACACCCGATAGGGTGCTAGGGACAGTTCCTGGGTAGCACAGAGTAGAGCCAGCAGGCCACTCTGGGGCTTGAGCCCACCACCCTCACCTTGGGCCTTTAAGCAACTCAGAAAGGGCACATGACTGAGAAGCCAGGGTCCTGCTCCAGGTCCTGTCACCCAACAATTGCTTGACCTTAGCTAGTTCAGTTGTCCCCAGCTATCCCCTTATGAAGTGGACATGGATGCCCACCGTGTCTGCCTCCTGTACACCTGCCGAGACGGTGGGATGGAGAGTACTCTGTGGAGGAGAGGGGGGCTCCATGCTAGGGAATTCTTACCAGCGTGGGAGGACTGACCTCTTGCTTGGCACCTTGAGGAAGACACTTAGGCCCAGGGCTGTGCTTTCGAGGAATTCCATAGTCCTGTTTTCTCTCATCTTCAGATTAGTGGGATTGCCCATATGAACAAAGTATTTTACGTGACAGGATGGAGTCAGAGAATCACCTGTTTCATGTGAGTAGTAGGCGTGCACGGTGAGGGGGTCATGTGAGTAGCAGGTGAGCATGGTGAGAGAGTGATATGAGTACAAGGCATGCCTCATGAGGGGGTCATGTGAGTAGCAGGCGTGCATAGTGAGGGGTCATGTGAGTAGCAGGCGTATATGGTGAGGGAGTCATGTGAGTAGCAGGCGTGCACAGTGAGGGGTCATGTGAGTAGCAAGTGTGCATGGTGAGGGGGTTGTGTGAGTAGCAGGCCTGCACAGTGAGGGTCATGTAAGCAGCAGGTGTGCACGGTGAGGGAGTCGTGTGAGTAGCAGGCTAGCATGATGAAGGGTCATGTGACTGGTAGGCCTGCACAGTGAGGGCTCATGTAAGTAGCAGGCCTGCACAGTGAGGAGTTCATGTGAGTAGCAGGCGTGTACGGTGAGAGCGTCATGTGAGTAGCAGGTGAGCATGGTGAGGGGTCATGTGAGTAGCAAGTGTGCACAGTGAGTGGGTTGTGTGAATAGAGGGCATGGATGGTGAGGGGTCGTGTGAGCAGCAGGTGTGCACAATGAAGGCATGTGAGTAGCAGGTGTACATGGTGAGAGGTCATGTAAGTAGCAGGTGTGCACAATGAGTGGGTCCTGTGAGTAGCAGGCAGGCACAGTGAGGGGTCATGTGAGTAGCAGGTCTGCACAGTGAGTGAGTCATGTGAGTAGCAGGCATACATGGTGAGGGGTCATATGAGTAGCAGGTGTGAACAGTGAGGGGGTCATGTGTTAGTAGGTGTGCATGGTGAGGGGTCATGTGCGCAGCAGGTGAGCATGGTGAGTAGGTCATGTGAATTCAGGGCACGGACGGTGAGGGGTCATGTGAGCAGCAGGCATGCATAGTGAAGGGGCACATGAATAGCAGGCATGCACAGTGAGGGCTCATGTGAGTAACAGTCATGCATAGTGAGTGGGTCATGTGAGTAGTGGGCATCCATGGAAAGGGGTCATGTGAGTAGCAGGTGAGCGGATCATGTGAGTAGCAGGCATGCACAGTGAAAGGTCATGTGAGTAGCGACTGTGCACAGTGAGGAGTCATGTAAGTAGCAGGTATGCACAGTGATGTGGTCATGTGTGTAGCAGGCATGCACAATGAGGGGATCATATGAGTAGCAAGCGTGCATGGTGTGGGGTCATGTGAGTGGCAGGCATGCACATTGAGGGGTCATGTGAGTAGGAGATGTGCACCATGAAGGGGTCATGTGAGTAGCAGGTATGCACAGTGAGGGGTCATGTGAATAGTTGGGATGCATGGTGAGCAACCATGTAACAGGCATGCACTATGAGTGAGTGGGTCATGTGAGTAGCAGGCGCACATGGTGAGTTGGTCATGTGAGTAGCTGGTGTGCATGGTGAAGGGCCATGTGAGTAACAGGTGTGCACTGTGAGTGGGTTATATGAGTAGCAGGCATGTGCAGTGAGGGGTCATGTGAGTAGCAGGTGTGCTTGATGAAGGGATCATGTGAGTAGCAGGCATGCACAGTGAGGGGATCACGTAAGTAGAAGACATGCATGTTGAGGTGGTCATGTGAATAGCATGCATGCATGGTGAGGGTTTTGTGAGCAGCAGGTGTGAATGGTGAGGGGGTCATGTGAGTAGCAGGTATGCACTGTTTTGTAATTCATGCTACTAGCATGAGTGCTTGGTGAGTGGGTTATGTTAGTAGCAGGAATGCATGGTGAGGGGTCATGTGAGTAGCATGTGTGCACAGTGAGTGGATCATGTTAATAGCAGTTGTGTACGGTAAGGGGACATGTATGTAGCAGGTGTGCACAGTGAGGGGGTCATGTGAGTGGCGGTGTGTACGGTGAGTGGGTCATGTGAGTAGTGGTAGCGCTCTTTGAGGGGTCATGTGAGTAGCAGGTGTGTGCAGTAAGTGGGTCATGAGAGGAGCAGGTGAGCATGGTGAGGGACCATGTGAGTAGCTGGTGTACATAGAGAGGGGTTAGGAGAGCTGCAGTTCCCTTTCCAGCTGGGTCCTCCAGTCCGAGCTCTCCTGGTGGGCAGAGCACTGAGCGGGAACATGGTGGTGGGTTGTGACTGTTGCTTTGCTGCTCGTTCTTTCATTCATTCATCAGTCATCGAGGCTAATAGATCCTCAATGTTTTTCTAGATGTAGGCCATGGATGTGAACAGGAATGATGGAATCTGCCTCCTGGTACATCTGGTTCAGTGGGAGAGTATCTTAGTTTGTTCGGGCTGCTATAATGGAGTACCATAGACTGGGTTGTTTATGCAGAAATTCACTTCTCACGGTTCTGGGGAAGTTCAAGAACTGGGAAGTTCAAGGTCAAGGTGCTGGCAGATCTGGTGTCTGCTGATGGCCCACTTTCTGGTACCTAGCCAACTGTCTTCTTGTTGTGACCTTACATGGTGGAGGGGACAAGAGGTGGCTCTGGGGCCTCTTTTCTAGGGCACTGATCCCAGTTGGGAGGCACCTTCGTGACCTCATCACATCCAAAGGCCCTGCCTCCAGAAATCTTCACCCTGGATTAAGTTTCAATATATGACTTTGGAGAACAAAATTCAGTCTATAGTATTCTGCCCCTGGCTCCCCAAAATTCATTCATTTTCTCATGCAGGACACATTCATTCCATCCCAGTAGCCCCCAAAGTCTTAAATTGTTCTAGTATCAACTTTAAATTCTCAGTCCAAAGTCACATCTAAATATTATCTAAACCAGACATGGGTGAAACTCAAGGTACGATTTATTCTGAAGCAAATTCCCCTCTAGCTGTGAACCTGTGTTACCAACATGTTATGTGCTTGCAAGATACAATGGCGGGACAGGCATGGGATAGGCAAAAGGAAATAGTGGAGAAGAAGAAAGGAATGACATGTCCCGGGCAAGTAAAAAACCCATCGGGGCAGATGCCAGTGGATCTTGAGTCTCAGTGCCCTGCCCTTTGGCCCACTTGTGTGGAGGCCCTGCCTTCAAGCCCTCGGGGTGGCAGTCCTTCCCTGCAGCTTTGCCAGGCAGGGGGACCCTGGGACTCTGGGATGTACTCTTCCCACAGCGGCTCTGGGCCTGGGCATTGGGATCCTGAGCCTGTGGCTCTGCAGGGAGGCACTGTCCTTTGAAATCCAGGTGATGGAAGCAGCTATAGCCCCTTGGCTCTGCTGGGTGTCACTTGTGCTGCACCAGGACCCCTGGGAGCTCCACTTGGAATGGTCATGGAGGCTGGCAAGGGGAGCCTGTGATGTGAGGTGACGATGAGCAGGGTGTGCTGCGGGCTCACAGGCATCGATGGCCCCTCCTCGATGCCATTCTGCCCCAGAGCCCTCATGCCCTGGGCTCATGGTAAGGAGGGCAGTCCTCCCTCTCTGAGTTGCTTCCAGGGTTATTCTTCCCTTGTCTCTGAGCATAGTGCTCCTTGCAGATCTCATCACCTGCCTGACTGTGCCTTGAGTGCTTTCTCCTGAACAGGCTTCCACATTTCCTTCTGTATGGACAGGCTGAGAATGGTCTGAATCTTTAAGTTCTGCTTCCTTTTTGATTAACAATTTGGTCTTTAGACCATTTCTCTCTTCTTGCATTTTACTATAAGTAGTTGAGAGAAACCAGCCACCTCTTCAATATGTTGCTTAGAAATTTCCTCAAATATCCAGTTTCCTCTAAGTTTGCCACAAAACACTAGAACACAAGCATAATCTAGTCAAGTTCTTTGCAGCTTTATAATCAGGGTGGCTTTTCCTCCTGTTTCCAATAACATGTTCCTTGTCTCCATTTAAGACTTTACTAGAAGGATTTTACCATTCATCCCACCATTCTGTTCAGGACCATGCAGGTGTTCTCTGAGAGGCTGAGGCTCTTTCTGCAGTGTTTCTCTGTTCTCTCTGGGGCCTCACTGATCTGAACAGTGGGCTTTTTCTAGCATGCACCTCAAAACTGTTCCAGCCTCTACCTGTCACCTGGTTCTAAAGCCACTTCTACATGTTCAGGTGTTTGTTACAACCACACCCACTTCTGGTACCAATTTCTTTCTCAGTCTGTTTAGTCTATGATGACAGATGCCATAGAGTGGGTGACTTATAACAACAGGAATTTATTTCTTACAGTTCTGGAAGCTGAGAAGTCCTAGATCAAAGCACTAGCAAATCTGGTGTCTGATGAGGACCTGCTTCCTGGTTCATAGATGGCCATCTTCTCACTGTACCCTCATGTGGTGGAAAGGATGCGGGATCTCTCTGGGGCTTTTTTTTTTTTTTTAGTTGGAGTCTCACCCTGTCACCCAGGCTAGAGCACAATGGCACACTCATGGCTACCCCAATGTTGACCTGCTGGACTCTGGCGATCCTTCCACCTCAGCCTTCCAAGTAGCCAGAACAACAGGTGCATGCTACCATGCTGGGCTAATTTTTTTTTTAATTGTAGAGACAAGGTCTCGCCAAGTTTCCCAGGCTGGTCTTGAACCTGCAGGCTCAGGCAATCCACTCGCCTCAGCCTCCCAAAGTGCTGGGATTACAGACTGAGCCACTGAGCCTGACCTGGGGCTTCTTTATAAAGGCATTCCTCCTGTTTATCAGGGTTCTGCCCTTCTCACCTAGTCACTCTCCAAAGGCCCCACCTCCAACATCCTTATATTGGAGATCAGGCTTTAGCATATTAATTTTGAAGGAACACAAATATACGATCTGTATCAAAAGGGCATACACTAATCAAATAATTTCATTTATAATTATAAAGTATAGTGAGCACTGTGAAACTTCTAGTAGAGGTTTCTGCTAGAGTGGTGGGAGGAAACCTGATTTCTTCTTGAGGGCGTGGTCAGAAGAGGGTTGGCTGAGGATGCTGTGGGTGGAGTATAATCTGAAAGGGGTGGGGCCGATCTCAGGGAAGTCCTGGGAATAGGATGAGCATTCCAGGCGAGGCAACACCGTGTGCAGGGCCCCTTTCTTTGTAGGGGGCCTTTGTAAGGCTGAGTTCCACTTCTTTGCACACCTAGTCCTTACTCGGGTGTCTGGCTGGTGATGAATTACGATTCATTATCTGTAAGAGGAGCTTGTGAAGTCCCTAGGACAGGGCTTTTGCAGTAGGCACGGAGTAATGTGAATGAGGCCAGTGGGGTGTGGCTGCAGCCCAGTCTGACGCCTGAGAGGATCCTCCTCTGGGTGGGCCTCAGGGCCCCCACCAGCCACCGTTAGAGGTGAGCCCAGCCCTCCTGCCTCTGGCTGTTTGCACAGGTTCCACAAGACCAAGCCGGTGCTCCTGTGCTACCCCTGGCAGACCTTTCACAAAGAGGATGTGCTGAGCATGGCCAAGTACAGAACCAGTTCCTAGGAACCTCCTCCTACAGTGGGGATGTCCTCTTCTGGAATGCCAAAGCCTTCAAGCCCGTCTTCAACTTCAACGCCTCTAAGAGCCCGTTTCCTCTGCAGCCCAAGAGGGTACGATGGCAGAAGCGAGATCTAGAGGCTGGCAGGGAGGGACACCTGGGCCTGGAGGGTCTTGGAAGCTGGGTAGGTAGGTTGCGGCTTCTAGAGTTTTCCTCATTGGACAGATGAGAAAACTCATGCTCAGAGCGGTAAGCCTCTTGCCTGAGGTCACAAGCAAGAGTAGGTCTGATATGGGCAGTCTGCAGAGGCAGCTGGCACTGGTCCTGTGCCCTCTAGGGGGTCACCTACTCCAGAAGGTGGCTCATATCCTCCCCACTGCTGTTGTCACGCATTACTGCTCTGAGCTCACCTGGCTTGTGGCGCGGACTCAGGAAACCCCTATAGTCTCTGATTTACCAAATCTTTAAAGATGATCGCTAGACAGGGTCTCTGGGGGTTGCCACATCCTGTGATTTCCTAATGTCAGAGAGAGGCACTTGGAAGCCACTGCAGGGGAAGGGGCTCTGGTAGGTGGGGCTTCCCCCAGGACAGCTCAGCTTTTCATCTGTTTTACATTTTGGTGCTTCCCTTGAGCTGGAAGACAACCACAAAAATAGTTGGATACCACTGTCCATTTTGCAGCTGGAGAAACCAAGTACCTCATGGGAGCAGCATCCTGCCTGTGAATGCTTAGGGCATTAGCGGCTGCCCAGGGATGGAGTTTTAAGCTCAGGTCTGATACCATTAGGGTGCCAGGCTTCTGGGCATATGCCCTGATGGCTGGAGGGCCCCAAGGTGTTGGTGTGGGCTTGGGAGGCCTGGATGTCCCTCTGGCACATGCAGTGCCTCAGGGGGCATGCTCTCCCTGGTGCAGGTGGAGAATGTGGATGACTTTCTGGCTGAGAACCACAGACTCAGCAGACCCTGCATGAAGCAGAACTGGGCACACAAGGCTGACAGGAAACTCCCCTGCCCTGGCTCCAGGGCTATGGCCAACACCAAACTGAGGCGGAACCTGACGTCAGCCCCGCCGGTGACGAGACACCTGAGAGACAAGGAGCCAGACAGGCCTACAACCCCGCAGGTGCAAGGGGGGCCCGGCCAGCAGCTTCCCTCACCCTCTGGCACCTGTATTTGTTTACTGTGTTCGTTTTATTATTTGGATGCGCTTTTCCCAGTGCCTTTACTTGTTTTGTGTGATGGGGGCCTGGGTAGAGAATGCCCTGTTTTAGTCCCATTGTGTATCACCCACTCTGTTGCTGCAGGCCTCTGTTAGCATGGTCCCTTCCCAGAGCACAGCCAGTACCAGGCCCACAAGTCTGAAAGCACAGAGGCAGGACATGAAGGGAACACAATGTTGAAACCTAGGGTCAGACATTAGATCCTGGGCTGCATCTCATTCCTTGGGCTCAGGTTGCCGGCGCTGGCCCAGATGAGCCAGGGCCTCCCTACCTTGGGTACCAAGCTGCAGAGGCAGGCCCAGATGCTGGCAACCACTCTCCCCCTCCTCTGAACCCTGTCTCTGCTCCAGAATTGTCCCTTCTGAGAATGACTGACAATTCTACTTTGTGGGTAGAAGGGAGAAAGGGCAAGAAGAGTTACACCCTCCTGCTCGCTGGGGATGCTGGGCCTTGGACCTTGCAGTGAGCACAGTATCAGCAGTATGTGCTGTAGTCTCTTGCATGGGGCTGGAGGAGCCCCTCATATTCCCATGGGTGGCATTTGACTCCTGCTTCTGGGACCTGGCTCGAGTGCGAAGCCCTGCCTTGCCTAGCATGCAGTAATTGCCAGGCCTGGGGCAGTCTGAACCTAGAGCCGACATGATCTGCATGACGCACGCTGCTGTCGATGGGCATATTTCATATTCCTGCAAGACACACCTGTCTTTGATGTACCAGGGTACCACCACTCCTGTTGTCACATCTTCCAAGGCAGTGGTACATAGGAGCCTCTGTCTCCATTTTTAACCAGGATGGTCTTTGCCAGGACCAAGGAAGGGTCTTCCCCAAAAGCAAGCTCAAGTCTGTCCAGAGAGCAAAATTGCCAGTCCCTTAAAAATGGAGACTCTCCAGCCTCCGAGCTGAGGTGCAGGAGCCCGGACATCCTGCCGTGCTTTGCTCAGGCAGTTATCTGCTGAGGGGCCCGTGGGGAAGGGAGACACCCTCGTGGTGACCTGGGAGGCCTGTTCTTCTTTCCAGAAGCCTTTCAGTGCGGGAAGATCCAGGCAGCCCAGCAATCCCCACGGCAAGCAGTCAGTTCTCAAAGAGGCTGAGACAAGGAATGGAGAATTCCAGAAGATGTTGCTGCAGTCCAACGTGTCGGTGGAGAAGGTTGGCAGTGCTCAGCGAGGACCTGGGATGTGAGCCAGGCGCCGGCCATCAGGATGGGGCATCTCCCAGAGCCTGAGAGGCGGTGTGGAGAGGATGTGGCCACTGGGGGGAGTGCCTGGGTGGAGGGGCGCTAGGAAGAGGGGCAGGGTCCCTCCTGGCTGGGAGGAAAGTGGCATTCCCAGAACCCGTTGTTAGAATACCATCCTGTCACCTGAGGCCTGTGGTGGTGGGGGTGGGGGGGATTCATACCTGTTCCCTCTTCCTCCTATGCCTTTTCCTTTCTGGCCCTTATCACCACTCACTGTGATGCCGACCCCCTTCCTGAAGATGCAAACCACCTCTGAGTTAGGGTGCAGTGGGCCTGCCTCAGGCCTGGCTCCAGGGACCAGGGACTGGAGAACCCAGGACAGTGCCCTCTGTGCTGGGTCTTCAGGGGCAGGGAGAACCAGGAGGGGCTGCACATTCTCTCTTCCAGCTTCCGAACATTCTTCCATCCCTCTAAGACATGCCTGAGGAAATGTAAGTGTCACACAGCTAGTTAGTAATAGTCACATGGAAGTGTGTGTGACAAAAAGCAGAGGTCTCCTGTGCCCCACTCACCCCACCCCTCACTCCTAACAGAGCTATCAACAGTCTGGGCCTAGCCTTCATAAGCTTTTGGTATGAAGTGATAACCATGACCCCCACTTACTGTTTCATGTGAGCGCGTATCATGAGTATGTCTGGAATCCAGGTTCATCTTTTTTTTTTTTTCTTGAGTTGGGATCTCTCTCTATTGCCCAGGCTGGAGTATAGTGGCACGATCACAGCTTGCCACAGCCTCAAACTCCTGGGCTCAGGTGATCCTTCCACTTCAGCCTCCTAAGTAGGTTGAGGCTACAGGCACATGCCACTCATGTCCAGCTAAGTTTTGTATTTTTTGTAGAGACAAGATCTCACTGTGTTGCCCAGGCTGGTCTCAAACTCCTGGGCTCAAGAGATTCTCCCGTCTCAGCCTCCCAAAGTGCTGGGTTTACGGGTGTGAGCCGTGCCCAGCCCTCATTCTTTTTACAATTGCTCAGTGCCCCGTAATTTAGATGCATCACAAACTGTTATCCAGCCTTCTACTGACAGACATGTCGGTTAGTCCTAGTTTTTAGAACTTGGGAGCAGGACTGCATTGAATGTCCTTGCAGGTACATTCCTGCACACTGGTATGAGTGTATTGAAGGGTCACAACATTGCCAACAGACCCCATCTCTTTAAATCTGTGACCTCCCCCAAGGTAGATGACTTGAAGCCTGACCTCTCTGGCTGGTGATCTGGTGCTGTCAGGGCGCAGGCACTACCGTGCCAGGGTCTGGGGAAGGAAGCTGTGGACAGGAGAGACCAAGTCCTGCTGTGCAGAGCTGCCATCCTAGTTGAGGCAAAACAGACCATTAACCAGCAAGTATGATAAGGGGCATGCCACAGAGTGAAAGGAGTGGCAGAGAACAGAAACACTGGGAAGAGGGTGAGAGATGGGTATGGGAGGGGGATGGCATTGCTATTTTAATAGCCTGGTCAGGGAGGGCTTCACAGAGGAGGTGGCATTTGTGCAGGGCTTGCAGGAGGTGAAGAAATATAGGTGCAGTTATCTGGAAGGAGGATGACCCAGCAGAGGAAGCAGCAGGCACAGAGGCTCTCCCAGGAGAGCTTACTTGGAGTAGTCAAGAAAGAGCACTACCCTCTCTCTCTTCTCTCTCTTCATCCTCTGATGCTCTCTCAAATTGAAAGTGACACATATACTTCATTAAAAATAAACAAATTCAAACTTTATCGAAGGGTCTGAAGTAAAAGAATGGCTGTCTCCCTCCTCAGCCTCCAGGGCACTTGCTGGATGCTTGTGGTTCACACACAAGTACATACATGCATGACTGCATATGTGTAAACAAGCTAGTTTCGTCAAATAGTGTCATAGAGTATGTGTTCTTCTACAGCTGACTCTACTCTTTTTCCCTGATGCCTCACAGCATCCTTCGTGACGTGATCACGGTACCCAGCTTGCCTGCTGTATCATACCCTGAGTGTGCCATCTCTGCAGCTGGCGATGGCTAGGTCTCCAGGTTTTGCCTCTGTGGAAATCACTGCATTGAACATCCTTGTAGATACATTTTGGACCTCTTGTCTATTTCCCATTCAGGAAACCTCGGGATTAGAAACACTCCTAAAAAGCCATTGATATGTGGTGTACCTTTCAGTCTAATAATAATATTAGCAGCAGCTGGTGCTTACTGAGCTCTTAACATCTGCTAGGCAGTGAGCTTACTGGTTTATGTGTATTGTTTTTCTATTCTCCCTCAAACAGCCCTGGGAAGTATGTACTATTATTATTATTCCTATTTTATGAGTATAAAACAGGCTCCAGGAGGAGCAGTGACCCGCCCAAGTTTCTCACTGCCAGAAATTGGCAGAGCCAGAGCCTTATTCCACGACTGTCTGGGTTTGAAATCTGAGTTCTTTTTAACTTTTTGTGCTGCCCTGCTGGGAGTTCCTTGGACTTTTTGCCTGACATGGTGGTCTGTGTAGAATAATAATTTGAATCATAAATGTGATTGGATTTTTGACTGGAGAAAGGATGCAGATGGTGAGATATCAGGCACGATGGCTGGCAGGCATGTGTGTATGCATGTGCGTGTGTAAGTGACTGTGGCCACCATCTAAGCAAGGCTGGCCCCCTCTGAAACTGCCAGCTTCAAAGTGCAGCCTTCCACCCTCACCTGAGCAGTTGAGCCCCTTCTCTCTGGGAAGTTGTGGGCTGGGCAAGACATTTTGGAGGGTTCCCTGGAGAGGGTCTCGGGTACTTGGGTCACCCCTGGTCCCACCCAGCCTTTCCTTAGAGGAGGAAACGCTCTGGTGGGCTGGGGCAAGGACACCTTGGGGAGAGTCTTACCTGCTGGGCCTTCCTCCTTGCCATTTCTGTCTGGCCATCTCAGAGACTGTAGGCATGGCAGAAAGAGTGCGAGGAAGTGTCGAGGATGTCCTGATAGTCAAGATGAGCACCTGCCCCGGGCTGCCTCCCTAGCTGGGAAGGACCAGACTGGTGGGGAGTGGGAAATTGTTCCAAGAGGTATGAAGCTGAGCCCGTGTAGCTGCCTCAGCTTCTGAAGGCCTGCATGGAAGCCATTAGCTCCTGAGGCTGAGAGGCTCTCTGGGACCCCTGGGCTGAGTGAGGCTGCAATGCCCACCTTCCGCCCAGCAGCTCTGCCCAAATGAATAGGGGAGTATGTGTGGGCTTTGAGGCCTGAGTACAGAGTGCAAAAGAAATAGCATTGGGTCCCTGTCCCTTGCAGCACATGAGCCCTGCTCTGTCCAGTACCCCGACTGTCTCCTTTGCTGCTGATCCAGGTTTCCAGGTGACCCCCACCCCCAGGCCTGCCACTGATCCGGGGCTCCTGGCAAGTCCCGAGCCCTTATACCCCTCGCTGTGCCTGCTCCCACTGTCCAAGGACTGGTGAGGGAAGGAAGTCTCAGCTTTTCCCCAGTTTGGAAATGGGAGATTTTATGGCACTGTGTTTTGGTGACTTGTGCAACTCTGAGGAATTATATTTTAGAAGAATACTTACTGATCTGGTATGTGATTATGACATAGTTTTAAAACATCTTTTAAAAATGACAGATAATGATTACTATAAAAATTAAGCATGCATTTTTGAGATTTTTTTAATGGTTTTGGTTTTCAAATGAAACTGGGAGCATTTAAAAACTAGACTATATAGTAGATAATCCTTCCTCTTGGTACATGTGACTCTATCTTCTTTATGCTTTTAATAGCATCATATGGGAATGATCTAGGTTTTTTGGATCCTGAAATCTAATCAATTTGGGAGGTACTTTTTAAGAAAAATAATACAAATTATACAAAATTAGGTACAGAAGTGAATGTTTACTTAGAATAAGAAAACAAATGACAGTATTTTTAAAAAAAAACGTACAAAGCTGACAATTACAATAGTCAATACACTTATTAGTTCCTCCCAGGACCTTGAACTTGAGCCTGCATTTAGCTTTGAGCTTCACAAACTTCACTGGTAAGTACAGAATATTTCTTTGGATTCATTTTGATTTATTTAATGAATGCCCCATTGATGGACTTTTAAGTTACTCATAAGTTTTTGCTATTACAAACAGTGACACAATTGAAATGTTATAGGTTTGCCTGTGCAGTTATGGTAGATTTCTCAGAAACAGGATTGATGCACAAAGTTTGTGCAGTTTACACTTTGACTGGTGAAGCTGGTTTGCTCTCTGAAAGACTGATGATTAATTTCCCCTTGGCAGTTTGGGTCTACCTTTGACCTCACATGAAGCTAGTACTCACATGATCCTTTTCTTCATTTCTGCCTGTCTGATAGGTGGAAGATAACATTATTTATTGATTTTTTTGATTGCCTGTGAGATTAGGCTTTTTGAATATCTGTTAGACGTTTGCATTTATTTCTTCAATGAGGAATTCATATCCTCTGTCTATTCTTTTTCTTATTGATTTCTTGGAGCTCTTTGTGTGTTCTGGAAATGGGAACTTTGCCTGATATATATTGCAAATATTTCTATCTTGTCTGCCTTAATTTGTTGTATTATACTAAGGTTTTAATTTTGTTTGTTTGAGTTAGGGTCTCACTCTGCTGCCCAGGTTAGAGTGCACTGGCATGATCATGACCATCATAGCCCACAGCAGCCTCGACCTCCTGGGCTCAGGCTTCCACCTCAGCCTCCCAAGTAGCTGGGATTACAGGTGCCTGGCTAATTTTTTTGTTTTTATTTTTGTAGAGACAAGGTTTTGCTATGTTGCCCAGGCTGATCTTGAACTCCTGGGCTCAAGCAATTCTCTCACCTTGGCCCCTAAAGTGCTGGAATTACAGGCAAGAGCCACTGCACCTGGCCCATCCTAACAATTTTTAAGGGTACTGTTTGGTGGTACTGCATGTATTCATAGTGTTGTGCAGCTAGCACCACTGTCCATTTTAACTCATTTCATCTTGTAAGATGGAAACTCTGTACTCATTAAATAGTAACTCCCAGCTCCTCTCCCAGCAGCCCCTGGTGACTGCTGTTCTACTTTCCGTCTTCATGATCTGAATATTCTAATTACCTCCTATTCCACTATAAGTGGAATCATATATTTTCTTTTTGTGACTGGCTCATTTCACTTGGCATAATGTGCTCTTTGGTTAAGTTAATTCCCAAACGTTTTATTCTTTTTGATGCTATTTTAAATGGAATTGTTTTTCCTTTTTAGATTGTTTATCATTCAAATATAGAAATGCAGTGGATCCTTGTGTGTTGACTTTGTATACTGCTATTTTGCTGAATTCATTTATTAGTTCTGTTTGGGTGTGTGTATATGTGTGTATAAAATCTTAAGGATTTTTTTTACATATAAGATAGTATCATCTGTCAACAGTCATATTTTACTTCTTCCTTGCTTATATGAATGACTTTTGTTTCTTTTTCTTGCCTAATTGCTTTGGCAGAACTTCCAGTACTATGTTGAATAGAAGTGAAAGTGGGTATTCTTGTCTTTTTTTTAAGCTTGGAGGGAAAGTTTTCTTTTACTGTTGAATAATTTTCATATATGGCTTTTATTATGTTGAGATGATATTCTTCTTTTCCTAGTTTGTTGAGTGTTTTTATCATTTTGAATTTTGTCACATGGTTTTTCTGCATCGATTAAGATATTCATGTGGTTTTTTTTCTTCTTTCTGTTATGATGTGTTACATGTATCAATGTTGGACCATCCTTGCATTTCAGCAGTAAACCCCACTTGGTCATGGCATATAATCCTTTTAATATGCTGCTGAATTCGGTTTGTTAGTATTTTCTTTTGAGAATTTCTTGCCTCAGTGTTCATAAGAGATAATTATAGTTTTCTTGTAGTGTCTTTATCTGGCTTTGGTATCAGGGTAATGCTGGCCTCATGGAATAAGTTGGGAAGCACTACCTTCTCTTCAGTGTTTTGGAAAAGTCTGAGAAAGATTTGTATTCATTCTTCTTTTAATATTTGGTGGAATTAATGAGGGAAGCCTTCAGGTTCTGGGTGGAAGAGACTCCTGGTTTTTGACCTTGTTGCCCAGGCCAGCAGGAAGCAGGCTGACCATCTTTTTTTGGACTTCTGTGACAATAAGGACAACTGAGATTTGTATTGTGGTTGGTGGTGACATGCTTTGGGGACACATAAGCCCATGCGTTGTTAAGTTCTGACTTGGCGGGAGTGAGGAAGCTACCAAAATCTCCTCCCTGGCCTGATTTACTCTAGCACCCTGACAGTGCTCTCAGCCTCATACAGGGGCCAGGCAAGAAACTCCCTCTGTCGCTTGCCTTGCAGAGTGACTTCCCGTTGTGGCCCCTCTGGGGCCACAGGAGTGTCGTGTAAGGCAAAAGTGAGCAAGGGTAGGGGGATTAGCAAAGGCACGATCAGAGCAAGACTTGAACAAGAATTTGGCTAAAATGCTTTCTTGATGATTGACTGAAAAGTGTGGGTATTTCACTACAGATATATATGAAAGGGAATGAGTTCCTTTCCAAATCATTTTGAGTTGAGTTACAGGTCTTGAAAAATCCTGTTTGAGTATACGAATTGGTGTGTCTTTATTTAATAAACTTTATTGGTCATGTACTGTGTGTCAGGCACCTTTGTGGTTACTGTTGATAAAGTAGTGAGCAAAAAAGACGCAAACCCCTGCCCTACAGTAGCTCGTAGTTCAATGTGATATTCCTCATCACCAGCCAGGTAGGAAGGGTGCGCTCACCATCACCACTCTCATTGGCATCTGGGAAATTGAGGGCCCAGGTGGGTGCCCCAGTGCCATGTGAGAGTGGCGAGGGGAAACCCTCGCTCACAGCGCGGCTGAACTAAGCCTGCCTCTCTCCCACAGATAATCTTCCTGCAGACCAGGCCTCGCCTGCCGCACACGGCTGCTCTGCTGAGTAGCTGCATCGATGGCTACATCTATGCCTGGTCCATTCACAGGAATGGGGGCCTGCTGGGGAAGTTCCCTGTGGACCTCAAGGACAACAGGGATGTTGTGGTGGGTGCCATGGCCACTGATGAAAGTGACAGGATCCTCATCACAGGGGATTGTAAAGGACACATCAAGGTGAGGAGGAACTGGCCTTAAAATCGAGGGACTGCTGGCCACCTCTTTGCTATACATGACCTTTGTCTCGCTCCTCCTCCCCAGGGGACTGGTTTCATTGTAAATAGTGGAGGGAGGAGGGTGGATTACCCAGGAAGTCGTCCTCTCTTGCTTTGGTATGCCCAGTAGAATGAGTAAGGGCTTGGTTCAAAAGACCCTCTAAGAAGCTTCCCTAATGAGTCCCACATTCCATCATCATCTCTCCAACCTCTTGCTCCCCAGGTGTGTGGCTCATCTGTGGTTCACTATCTCAGAACTGAGTTTGGGAGGCAGGTTTATGAGGCAGGAGTGTCTTGTCCTTGACCAGTCACACCCTCTCCACTCGCTAACTAAGGGATCTGGCCTAGAAGACCCCTAAAGCCCCTTCTGGCCCTGAATGGCTGGGTGTTTCCGAGTCCCTGAAGTGAAGCGGAGTGGTCTGGGAGGAGCCCGAGAGTGAGCTGAGGTCTAGCTCCAGGGGGGTGCTGGGCCACTAATCCATGCTTTGTGCCTAGATCTGGGACATCAAGGGTTACTGTGCGTTCACTGATTTGCAACCATCGCGATCCAGTGGGGGCAAGGTCCTCTCTGAAAAAGAGAACAAGTTCCATGCCTTGATTCCTCAACAGCTTGGGACCAGTTTCTCGAGTTACATTCCCTTGAAGGAGAAAGAGGTAGGAAGATGACGAAGGGTTGCTCAGGAAAGTACTTCTGAGCCCCACAGATGAGCTAGGATGTCTCTCCCTTATGGAGGCTATGAATCCTTCATGTTTCTGTTTATGGTCATGTGCAGACATGGGGAAGTCTTCATTAATCAGAAGTCACCGTTAACCAGTGAAACACAAGAATACATACACCAAATGCACACACATGTTCACACACACACACACACACACACACACACACACACACACCCCCATACACACCCTGCTATGGGCTGTGATCTTGGCAATGAGGACTTTAAAATAATCAATATTTGTATGTTTTTTCTTGAATAGTAAATATACATTTACTATGTACATTATAAATCACTTGAAGGCCAGACATAGTGGCTTGCATCTATAATCTTAGCACTTTGGGATTGCTTGAGCTCAGGAGTTCAAGACCAGCCTGGGCCACATAGCAAGGCCTCATCTCTACAAAAATAAAAATAAGAAAAATTAGGAAGTTGAGGCTGCAGTAAACTGTGATTGTGCCATTGTACTCTAGCCTGGGCAACAGAGTGAGACCCTGACTCAAAAAAAAAAAATTACTTGTTATTTCCCCTGAGAGCTAATGAAGTTGAGCCCTTTTTCACTTATTAGGAAAATGCAGATTAAAGCCATAATATAATACTACTATACACTCCAGAATGCCTGAAACTAAGAAGTTTTGGCAAGGTTGCAGATACACTGGAACTTCCACCCTGGTGGGAATATAAGCTAGTATACAGTCGACCCTTGAACAGCGCAGGCTTGAACTGTGAGGGTTCACCTATACGTGGATAGTTTTTAACCAAATACAGATGGAAAATACAGTTTTGGTGGAATGTGAAACCTATGTGTAAAGAAGGCTGACTCTTTGTGTATGAGGGCGACCCAAAAAAGTCCAGAACTATTTTTTGGACTGTTTTGAGCAGTGGAAAAAGTGCCTTAATAGTACATATTGCATCATATGTACTTTGAAGGTGACTAACATTTAAACCTGTAAGAATATGCACACTTTTAAAAAGTAAATAAATTATTATTTTTGGTTCCCCCTCATGTGTGCGTTCTGTAGGGTTGACTGTGAGACGAGTATGTGCAGATTTCCGTATACATGGAAGGTCCTAGAACCAACCCTCGTGTATACAGAGGAATGACTGTAATCATTTTGGAGAACTCTTTGACAGTAGCTGAATACATGGCCTATCCTGTGATCTATCAATTCCACTCCTAGCTTTATACCCAAGAGAAATATGCACTGAAAGACACAAGGAAGACTGTTGATGGAATTACTATTTATAATAGTGCCACATTAGAAACAGCCCAAATGCCTATTGCCATGGACTGGAAAGATAAATTGTGGTCCACACACACTACAGGATAACATCTGACCCTGGAAATGAAGACTTTGCATCTATTCAGTATAACATGTGTCACTCCAAACAATTTAAACAAAAGAAGTCAGACACAGAGGAGTACATATAGTGTGTTTTGTGGCTCCATTTACACAGAGTACAAAAACAGACAAACCTATTCTATTAGAAGTGGTTATTTCTGTTGGGGGAATAAAGTGACTGGAAGAAGTCAGGGACTTCTGAAGGAGGGACTGGCAGTGCTTCATTATCTGGGTCTGATCATGCAATTGTGTTCAGTTGGTAAAAATTTATTCAGTGGTACATTTAAGGTATGTGTAATTTTCTATATGTGTATCATGTATCAATGAAAAAAAATTTTTTTTGAGTCGGAGTCTCACTCCTTCGCCCAGGCTGGAGTGAGTGGCACACTCATTGCCACCACAGCCTCGACCTATTGGGCTCAGGTGATTCTTCCACCTCAGCCTTCTAAATTGCTGAGACTGCAAGCATGTGCCACCACACCCAGCTAACTTTTTGATTTATTGTAGAGATGAGGTCTCGCCAAGTTGCCCACTTCCAAAGGATACATGTATTTGCAATTTTGTTATCCATCTTGCAACCTTAAATGCCTTTTGAATCTCTGCATGACTATATTATGGTCAGCTAGTTTTAATATGAAGAGAATTTCATTATGTTCAAATCTGTTGGGAACTGGTCACCCATGGAGGCGGTGTATGAAGAATTTATAATGTTAATGAGATGGTTATATAGAGAGAATATATACAATAACTGATATTTATTTGCTGTTCGCAGTGTTCCAGGAATAATAAGTGCTTTATATATGTTTACATTGCTCTCCATCACGACTTTTCAGACGAGGAGGAAATGAAAGAGCTGGAGGGACCTATCTAAGCTCACACAGTGGCCAGTGAGAACCTGGGACTAAAGTTACGTCTTTTGACTCTAGAATTCAGGTTCCTGGCCATTTGCTCTTAGTTTTAAAATGATATAGACAGTTGGGATCATGCTGTATGTAACTAGAATTTCCTGTATCATTACATTTTTTCTTTTCAAAACGTTGTATTAATATTATTTTTAATGTACAAATCATAAGTATACTATAAACATTTCTGAAGTACAGTGTACCATTTTGATACACGTATACATGCGGAACGATTAAATCAAGCCACTTAACATGTCTACCTCCTCACTTATCATTTTTTGTGATGAGATACTTGGAATTTATTTCTTTAGTTATTTCGAAGTATGCCAAATGTTATTATTGACTAACCACCCTGTGCTGTTTGTTGTTATCGACTGTAGCCACCCTGTGCTTTTTGTTGTTATTGACTGTAGTTTACCCCGTGCCATACGTCATTATTGACTGTAGCCATCCTGTGCCGTATGTTGTTATTGACTATAGTAGCCCTGTGTTGTCTGTTATTATTGACTGTAGTCACCCCATGGTGTATGTTATTAGTGACTGTAGTCACCCTGTGCCATATGTTGTTGTTGACTGTAGTCAACCTATTGTTTAAGGAAAACTTCATACCTTTGATCGGCAACTCCCCATCCTGCTCCCAACCCCCAAGCCTCTGGTGGCCATAATTCTTCCCTCTGCTTCTAGGAGTGTGACTTTTTTAGATGCCATATAAAAGCAAGGTTGGGTAGTATTTGTCTTTCTTTTCCTGGCTTATTTCACTTGGCACAGTGTCCTACAGGTTCATCCATGTAGTACCCAATGACAGGATTTTCTTCTCTTTTATGACTGGACAGTGTTCCATTTTGTATATAGACCACATTTTCCTCATCCACTGATGGCCGCTTAGGTTGATTCCATATCTTGGCTATTGTGAATAATGCTGAAATAAACATGAGAGTATAGATATTCCTTTGACATACTGATTTTAGTTCCTTTGGATATTTACCCCATAGTGGGATTGCTGAATTGTATGGTCTTTTTAAATTTGTTTTTTGAGGAACCTTCATAATATTTTTCATAGTGGCCATATTAATTTACATTCCCACCAGAAGTGTATAAGGACTTTTTTTCTTCTCATTCTCACCAACACTTATCTCTCATCTTTTTAATAATATCTATTGAAGTAGATAAGAGGTGATATTTAATTGTGCTTTTAATTTGTATTTTCCTAATGATTAGTGATACTGACCATTTTTTTCCCATGAACCTTTTGGCCATTCATATATTTTTGTGAGAAATGTCCTTTGCCCATTAAAAAAATTGAGTTATTTGTTTTCTTGTTATTAAGTTGTTTTAGTTCTTTGTATATTTTGGACATTAATGTCTTATCAGATACATGGTTTGCAAATATTTTCTCCCACTTTGTGGGTTGTCTCTTCACTTTATTTTTACACTTTGCTATGCAAAATCTTATTGGTTTGATGCAATCCCATTAGCCTATTTTGGCTTTTTTTGCCTGTGCTTTTAGGTCATAGCTAAATAATCATTGCCCAGATGATTTTAATTTGATTTTTATGTATTGTGTTAAGGATCCAAATTCATTCTTCTGTATGTAGATATCCAGTTTTCCCAGCACCGTTTCTTGAAGAGGCTGTTTCTTCCGTTGTATGTTCTAGCATGTTTGTCAAAAATCAGTGACTATAATGTATAGGTTTAATTCTGGGCTTACTATCCTGTTCCATTGGTTTATACATCTGTTCTTATGCCAGTATCATGCTGTTTTGGCTGTAATAGATTTATAATATATTTTGAAATTGAGAAGTGTGACACCTCCAGCTTTGTTCTTTTTGCTCAAGATTGTTTTGGTTATACAGGCTCTTTTGTGTTTCCACACAAATTTAAAGATTTTTTTTTCTATTTCTGTGAGTAATGATACTGGAATTTTGATAGGGATTTGAGTGAATCTGTAGATCACTTTGGGTAGGATGGGGTTTTTTTCCCTGTGATATTTATTTATTTATTTTTATTTTAAAGATGTGGGGTACAATTCAGGGTTAGGTATACAAATGTCCATTATGCAGGTATCCTTGTTGATGAGGTATGCCCCTACCTCCGCTGACTGTTTCTCTCAACAGCCAGTCCCACCCTGTCTCCTGGCAGTTTCCCACTACTGCCAATCCCTTTCTTATAGTATTATGATAATTGTTCAAGGTCCACTTATGAGTGAGAATGTATGGTACTCTGTTCTTTGTTTCTGTGATAGATCACTAAGTATGACAGACTTTAAATCCATCCAAGTTGCTGCGAAGTTCATATATCTGTTTGTCCTTTTTTTTTTGAGTTGGAGGCTCACTCTGTCGCCCAGATTGGAGTGCAGTGACATGCTCCGGCCACCGCAGCCTCCTGCTGGGCTCTGGCGATCCTTCTGCCTCAGCCTTCCAAGTAGCCAGAACTGCAGGTGCACGCTACCACGCCCGGCTAATTTTTTTTGGTTTATTGTAGAGATGAGGTCTCGCCAAGTTGCACAGGTGGGTTGCGAACCCGCGGGCTTAGGCAGTCCACTCACCTCAGCCTTCCAAAGTGCTGGGATTACAGGCTAAGCCACCAAGCCCGGCCTGTTTGTCCTTTTTAAGGCTATGCCATTGTGTATAGTACTACATTTTTTTTATCAGTCCAACCATGTTGGTTCCATGTTTTTACTATTGTGAATAGAG